TTTCTTGTCCTCCTCTTTGTTCTGCTTTAACCTGTGTATTACTTGCTTTTTCTTGTTATGGTAAATTTTATATATTTCTTTCTTTTCCTTTTATGGAAATGGTTCTTATATCTTTCTAATTTTAAAAATATAAAAAGAAGTGATGTTTCATATCTCGTATTTAAAAAAGAAAAAGTTTATAGCTATCTGTGACCACCCCCTGATTAAATAACTGAATTGGGCATCGAAATAAATATGTATTTTTGTAGTGATAATTTAAATGTTCGAATGTAATAACTTATAATAAATAATTATTGCTCTCCTTTTGTATTGAGCTTTCTTTTAAATTTATGACATCACTACTCATACGAAACCTAATGGTTTTATTAACACTTAAGCAGAAATTCACTTTTGCCAAGAGTCCAGAAACAAGTTCATTTCTCACTAATAAATAGAGAAGCGAATAATGAGACATTAAAAGAACATAAGGAAAATTTATTCCTTTTAAAATTTATTTCTTTTATTTACCTGAAGAAGGTCACAAGACAGGAAACCCGTGTAGCAGAAATATGAAGAATAAAATATAATATATATATTAAAAGAAATTCTCATTAGAAACAAAAACGTGTGCAGTTTCTCTCTTTTTTACATTTTTCTCTCGTTGGAATAGCCATAAACTCTTCCATATATATATATATATATATATATATATATATATAAAAATAATAAACCCATCCCATACCACCACCATCTGCATACAACCTGAAATTAATCTCCTAAAAAGAATAAGACGGAAAGCACATTTCTTCTTAAACCAATGCCACAATAAAAGAAATACAGACTGAAAACGAAAAGATGTCGGCTGCAACGAAGGCACAAGAGAACTTTGAAAAAGAATTATCTGGTTTAGTATGAAAGGAAATCTCATAATTAGACGCTTTCCGCGATAACAAAAATAAAAACAAATATAATCAAAATAAAAAGTAAAAACATTATTCGAACTTATTTGTTCCTGCAGATAAAAACAAGTATACTAGTATTCATATGAACTGCAAGTTCCAAAACACAGCAAGCTGCCCAAGCAGTAATTCTCTATGTATAATACGCATTTTTTCTAAAAATAAGCAAAATTAGCTATGCGTTTTATGAACAGCTACAAAATAATCTTTAAATACTGCTGTTTCATAGGTCGATTTCAGTTGCGAAATAACTGCCCACCACAAACATACGACAATTTGAGACTAATATTCGGCGATTGCGACCCCATAAGGATGTCAAATACAATCATATGTACCTAACAATACTTACAAATGTAAAATAAAATAAGAATTAACATAAAACTAAATTAAAATAATATTATCCTATGTTCAGAACCATTTTTTTGTGAAAAACTGCATACATCCCAGTAGATTGCATATTTTATCGAGCAAAAACAGGTTAATGATTCTGCGCAGTAGGGACAATATAGGTATTTCCGTTTCCATTTAGAATCGTACTGATTGGAAATTTTGATAAATATCTTCAATTACAGCTTGAATAATAGTAGGAAACGCTGGCCGTAATGAAATTGGAGAGCTACAATTTATAGGGTTTGATTACCAAACAAGGGATGCGTATTATACGTGAGTAGAAGCATTTTCCAACACTTTCAGCACAATTTTAGGTGTGCGTATTATGGATGAAGGCGTATTATATATGGGGAATTATAACATATAGAAAATCACTGAAAGCGATTGAATACGATAACCAACAACCTACTAAAAACATCATTCCCCAAAAATTAAACCAAGAACCACATCACGAAATCACAATTGATTACGTTAAAATGACGAAAAGAATATGTCAAAACGATGTCAATATGCAGGCAACAAAAAAAAAACAAAAAAAAAAACAGCTAAACGGGATAGAACCCAGTCTGTTATTTACCCATTGCTGGGGGAGAATAGGATTCATATCTTTCCCAAGGGTATTAGCACGTAAGGGAATGTAATGGATATCACTGGAATTCAAACTCGGCTCTCCGATTCTCAATCCGACCCACTATCCATTACTTCACTGTAACTCCTGCTTTGTTATATATATATATATATATATATATATATATATATATATATATATATATATATATATCTTATTTCGAGAAAAAAAAACTTCTATGAAAAGATAGTGCAAATATATGGGGAAAATATAAAAAATCACTTCACTAAATCGTGGAAACGATACCTAGATGATTGCTTCATTTCCTGGAATTCCTCATGGGGCGATATTAACCAAATTACTCCAAACCTTACACCCGAAGATCAGATTTACCCAAGAACATAATTTTAACGTGCTGCTTAGATATACTCATCAGAAATAGAAATAACAATATTATCACAGATATCTACCACAAATCTCCAGACACCCAACAATATCTTTATTTCAAGAGCCATCGTCAAAAAGCTATCTGAAATCCACCTCCTTTTCCCTAGCAAGTAGTATTTGCACTATAGTGGCTGAGAAACACCTCCGAAACCCGCCTAGAAGGATTATATACAACTCTAAAAAAAACTAAAAAAAAAAATTTCTACAAACAATTACATAAAAATCTAAAAAAACGAGTCTACCACACACCACTAATAAACAAATGTTTTGAAATAGCAGAAAAAAATTCCTTTAGACCAACTATGAAACTCAAAGAAACACAACAACGAAGACATTTTAGCATACGTGTCAACATGCAACAAAAACTATCCAGAACTATTTACAGAAATTACAAGAAATCTAGACATACTGAACAAGAATAATAAAATGAAAGATATACTAAAAACAACCAAAATATTTAAAAGCAAGCGTCAACCAAAAAAAAACATTTTGATCTCATCCAAATTTAGCCAACACACAATAGAGGGGGGTTCACAGAATGCAACGAGAAAAGATGTTGATTTCGTGATATAATTATAAAAGTAAAATCTTACACTTTGGAAAACCCCACACCATTCGCAATAAAGAAAAACTGAAACTGCAAATCCAAAAATATGGTGTATGCACTCAAGTGCACAAAATGCAATAAATCCTAGATAGGTATCATCCAAGCACTAAACAACAGAGTTTCCCTTCATAAAAGCAGCATAAAATTACCAGAAAACAGGAAACTCTTTGTGTCCCAACATATCCACGAATGCAACGAAGGTAAATTTAAAATTTTGCCAATATATTAAACAGGCAATTATTCTTACCTACAAATATAAGAAAAAACTTCACAGACAACTTTAAACCAGCACTAAAAAAAATAATAACCCCACACACATAAACAAACACCATGCACATATAGTGGGCGATCACACTAGTTGGAACACCCCCACCACACACACTATATAAATATATATCGAGAACGAACATATGCACATATACTGGCAAAAACAAACACACTAGACAAACCTCACCCGCACGCACACGAACCTACACACTATACAAAGTGTGTGCTTATATTTCTTTGTAATAAAACAATATACATGTATGCAAATTGTATATGTATACCCATACACGAAAATGTCTGGAAAGTACCTTGATCGTTGGTTTAAATCTGCGTCCAGGCTCTTATAGTATTTTTCAATTCTTGGTAGATTTTCTGTTGTCACAATATGGGATAATCAGGGGAAAAGTGGATGGAGAGAAAATAAACAAGAAAAAAATACAGATGGATTTGGCTAAACTGAAAAAATATTCTTTCAAAAATATTTTTTTTTAAAATATTCGTACAAAAATTTGGAAACTACCTGCGCCTCTCTTTTCGTGCGCATTTGTAGACGTGGCAACGTCAACAAAGCCTTTCTTTTACATATCCTAAGTGATTTATTACCCTTTAAAGAGAGGTCCATTTTCTTTCAGCAGTCCAAGACAAATCTGAATTACTGCCGCAGGCAAAAGACAATGGTTAAACATAGGAAAACATAATGAAAATATCGATAAAAATAATTTCTTTAAATAATATGTGGAAATTTTCCGATGACAGTCACAAGACTTGAAATCTGTGCAGCTAAAAATATGGAAAATAAAATATAATATATATTTTAAAAAATTAAATGAATAAAAATCTACATAACCAAAAATATTTGCGACTTTTCTTTTCTCTTTATTATATATATATATCTGTGTGTGCGCGTGTGTGTGTTTGTGTGTGTGTATAAATATATATATATATATATATATATATATATATATATATATATATATATGATTTAAATTAAAAATCAAACAACTGTAAGGTTCTATTATATCATATTTTATATCTCCAAGAAAGTGATTTTTTTTGTTCCTCAGATCACGTCTCCAAGCATAAAATATGGTTTTAAAATTTACATATAATTTTTATACGATTTTGACGGGTAGTTTTAATTTGATATAAGGTGATAGAAAGAGGGGATGGCGGAGGATGTCAGATATGGTCGAAATCATAGAAGGAAGAGAGAGTTAGGAATAATTTTATATCTACTTTTATTAAGATACTTAAGGGTAAGGGAGGGGGTATGGACCAGGCATTGACCTATTTAATAAGTCATGTCACTGGAGACCAGACAAAGAGGAAAAAAATAAGAAAAGATATGAGAAAGCAAATGGGGAAGTCGGAGTGGGAATAAGAAAACTGAGGAAAGAAGAAAAGGAAGAATAAATTAACATATATAGACATCTTGCAGTTAATTTAAAAAATACAGATTAATATAATTTACAGTTAACGCTTGACATTATTTTAAAGAATATCAACAAAATAAAATAGTTGAAAAGGAAAAATAATATGAATTTAAAATAAAAGAAAAAAATTAATATTATTAATAAAAACTGATAGAAACTGTTTGAAATTTTAAATTTTAAATTCAAATTTAAAATTTAAAACAACATAGAAATTAAAAATAGTATCGAAAAAATATGATATCGAAGACATATCGAAAGGAAACAAATTTAATAATAATAATAATAATAATAATAATAATAATAATAATAATCTACTATCCATAATACCAATCAGAAGAGTAACGGTAGAG